TCAAGTGAAATGTGAGCTCCGATTTCAATGAGTGAAGGGGAATATGTCACCTCACTACCAAGCATAAAAACTTATACTTGGTAGTTAGTACCAAGCATACCCATTTTCCTCTATATATATATATATAGAGAGAGAGAGAGAGGTGATCTTATATCAACTTAAGTGGACATCAAGTCTTTGTCCACCAAAATTTCTATCCACTCATTTATATATATAAAAAGACTCTTCATATCATGCAAGGATCCCTAGACAACATGAGTGGATAGAAACTTTGGTGAACCATCCACTTAAGTTGACATAAGAATTTCTCTCTCTCTCTCTCTATATATATATATATATATATATATATATATATATATATATGTGTGTGTGTGTGTGTGTGTGTATGTATGTGTACTGATGGAATATCACTTCATTTCGTTCATGATAGAGAAGAAAGAGCATGAAGTACAATGTCACTTGAGTATAAAGGAATCGCATCACTACATACTTGATTTTGCCTAAATCTAGCTCCTAACGAAGCAAGAGAATGAGCCACAACATTAGCCTCTCTCCTCGCATAAGCGAAGCTACAAAATACAAAACCTTGAGTAATCACTAATATACCGACCACAATATGCCTGAATGATGCAAAAGAGAAAGAACCAAAAGTTAGAGCTGTAATAGGTAACAAACAATCCGAACTAATGATAATAGAAGAAAAGCCTGCTTCACTCGCAAGTTGAAGGCTTTGACGAATTGCCAATAACTCACATAAAAAAGATATATTTAATCTCATACCAGTAACTCAACAGATCAAAATGGACTAGTACATGAAAGACCTAAGCTACTAAAATCAAAAGACCCTAATTATTTCTTTTATCTTTCCTCTTTTTTTGGAATTCACTTTTGCACCTGTAAGAAGGATACGCCACAAGGAAAAGAACATTAGAAAAGAAACATTCCTAAAGAGATGAAAAACTTGCTACATAGACATTTTCTAGCTGGTCTTTGTAAACATTTCAATTACAAAGCTTAGGAGTTTGTCTAATGAGGCTCCATAATTTGCATTGGAAATGCTCGAAGTATGATCTTTTATTTCTTTTATTCACAAGTAAGAATTTCTTGTGGAGTTATGATTAGGTGAAGATAATCTAGAAATGTTGTTACATTATTATATTTATTTAAAACATAAAAACAAGGAAAAAGAAGATGTAACTAATTTGATAAATCATTCAAAACTAAAGCAAGCTTATCCTTATAGATATTTTGTCTTTAAATATGTTGCTGATTATTTAACATAATAATACCATTAACTTATTTTAGAATAGATTTTCCAACATATTTTCATATTATTTCTTATAAAAACAGATTCTATCAGTAATTTTCAAGATTGCAACCTAAGAAATATCTTACTGATTATTTAACCATTATTAAATCGTTCATTATCCCTCTATATTTTGAGAGAATATAATAAAGAATAAAAGAAATTAAAAAATTATAATACTTCAATATGTTTTCTCTTTTTGGCTCGTCATCTTATGTAGTGGGTTACTGTAATTCATATAGTGACCTATTATTTCGGAAACAAAATGCACCAGAGCTCCAAATAGAAGGGGACAATCATAATTTGGACATCTCCGCTAAAATTTCTTTCAATTTAACACTAATTAGTCTTGTACGATAAAGAGAAATTCAAATGGCAACTGTGGTTTCGCAATTGCCACTTTCACTCTCAGTAATTAGGGGGACATGTGTCCTTAACCTTAAAACAAACCCTCGAGCCAAATCGAACCCAACACATTCAATTCAATTTTGAGTGCGTGTTGAAGGACCCTCGCAGGTCGCGACTATGCTTAGACCTTTGTGTACAATAATATTGTTTAATCCCTCTTGTAAAAATACACGAGACACTCTCATAAAGAAAAGGATAACTAAAGAAATGATTGCACAATGATTAATGTTATTCAAAATTTGGATTTGTACCGTTATAAATGACTTATGATACTTGATTAAAGGCTAAATAGCATTTAAATATCTTATAGTTTATATGACTTACCCTATCTTTTTGCTTGGCATCTAAATACCTATAGTTTACATGACTTTGCACTTATACATCCTATCTTTTTTCCATAATACTTAAATGCCAATAGTTTACATGATTTTACACTTGTATATCCAACGTTTTTTTCTTGACATTTAAATACCTATTGTTGTTTAACATAGCACTTTGCTACCTTCTTTTAGTTAAATGATGATATATTCTCCTAAAAGTTTCCATGTGACACGCAATGATAAAAAGTGGTTAATTATAATCCTGAAGTTGGTTGAATTAGAGTAAAAACTAACTTTATGGGGAATTCTAAGTGGGAGTAAATAAGATTCAAAATGAGTTTTTTAGTTAAAAATACCAAGTTTAGGGGTATAATTGATCAATTTTTATCATATGCAAGTTAAATGAATACTTTTACTGGCAAATTTTCAATATTCAACGATAATGTTACAACGTTTGACTAAGAAAATGTAGCAATGTGCTACTTTTAAAAAACAATAGGGTATTTAAATGCCAAGAAGAAAAAAATGATAGGGTATATAAGTGCAACGTCATGGAAACTATAGAGCACTTAAGAAAGAAGACAGTGTATATAAGTGCAAATTCAAGAAAAGTATAGGGTATTCAAATGTCAAGAAGAGAGGTTATATAAGTGCAAAGTCATGTAGACTATAAGTTATTTAAGTGCTATTTAGCTTTAATTAAAAGAACCTAGTATGAAACATACTTATGTAATTTTATGTTTTGATATAAATCATTAATAATGCAAATTATGTCACTTACTATTAAACATATAAAGTTAAGAAAAAAAAAAGAAAACTTTCTCTTATTTGTTTTTTCCCTTGATTTTTATTAAATAAAAAGCCAAAGAACTCAAAGTCGACCAGATCTGACCGTAGAGTTCTTTGATCGAAAAACAAAAAGAATAGTAGCTACAAACAGAAGTTGAGTGCCCTTGAAAGGAAAGTGGACATTTTCTTCAATTTCCATGTTATTCTTCCTCAAATGGATTCTCTTTCATCTTTAAAACTTAAACACTTCTTCCGTTCTAAATCTTTAATAGAAAACAGACTTCCCTCCCATGAAATCAAAACCAAACCACCCAATGGCTTTCACTTCATTGCTTCACTAATCAAGGGTTTTCCTGAGGCCCATTGCTGCTACCAAACTCCTCATCTTTAAATCCCCATTAGCCAAAAACTTAATCACCTCTCCTAAATCACTATTTATTGGTCCTCCATTCCATGTTAGAGGAAACTATGCATCCTCGACGAAGGGCGGAGGGAAGGGAGTTGTTCGTACCAAGATTGTTGGTGGTAAAGTTTTCATTCAGGAGGCGCCATCATACTCTACGTAAAGCCCTAAGACCTACATTTGCCAAGGCTACTACGACATCGCGTTGTGCAAGCTAACAAAGAAATTTGTACTCTAGCCGAAGCCCAACCGAAGCCCAAGATGTTGAAAAAAATCAAGGAGTTCAAAAAAAGATGCAGAGTTTGGACTTAAAAGAAATTGATCCCGATGGAGAAGAAAGCCTTGGACAAGGAACGGATAAAAGTATCTTGTCGCTTCAACAACAAATTTGCTCATTACCATATAGTGGTAAGTTTACTTTTAATAATATTTTAGATTGCTAGCCATGTAGATTACATTTTAACTTATTCACGTTCTCCTCATTGAAGCACTCTAACATGAAGATCTCATGTTATGATTGTCAGAATTGCTACAAGACTGCCACTCATGAAAAAAAATACTTTTGCCCATTGAGCTTGGAGAAGAGGGAGAGTGGGTATGAAGAAGTCATTAGGGATAGAATAGGTTATGCTTTATTTTGTATTTTTTGATTAATAAGTGTCCATTCGTTTGGGGTTTAGGAACAGTGGATGTCTCAATATTTCGTTTATTTTAAGGGGGTTTTGAATTTTTTTGGGTTGGGACTTGGGACTTTAAACCTTCTTTTTTATTTTTTTTATTAATGGTCTATGTAGGGTTTACGAATTGCTGATATCTTAACATTTTGGTTATATTGGTCAGGTCTTGAAATTTTTTTGGGTTATTTTAATCACATTATAGGTTTAAGCTGATGAATATAGATGTATATTTTGACTAATAATTAGAAATGATTTGATTAAATCCTTGGGGCTTCTACCCATTGACTCTTCCCCAAAGAAAATTAATGATTTGCTTTGCATGTTAATTATATGAGGTTCATTGTGTTCTGAAATTTGTCTCCTATTTTGGTAGTTGGACTAATTGAATTTTATTAGTTACATGTACTTGTTTACATCAAGTTTTAATTAAGGATGATTGAGATTTAGACAGCAAGAGTAGTGCTATTGTATTCCATGTCTTAAATTTTTTGCATACGTTTTTACCTTTTTTATTTGCAATTCACAAATTTGAATTTGCATTAAGGGGTTATTTACACTTATACTGTAATAAGAAAATACAAATATAACTGTAACTTTCATTTCGGTGTAACTGGAATTTTTGCAACTGCAAAGTGACTTGCAATAAAATTGGCGGCAAGTAATTTTATAAAATTATGATTCATTTTGCAATTATAGCTTCAAAAATATTATAATTTTAGCAAAAGAGTAGATGGTGAATGTGGCACTTATGCAAGATGAGATGTATGTTTTCTGTGCCAATGGTAAAGAGAACAGTGATCATCTTTACTTCTAGTGTGCTTATTCTCAAGAAGTCCTTATTGCTATTCTAAAAAAAGTGAAATTAAGGACTCTAATTAGAAGGCGGTCTATACTTGTTGAATGGTTCCAGAGGGTAGTCAAGGGAAAAAATTCAGTAAACTGCTATAGAGGAGTATTGTTGCTTGCTGCCATATACTAGATTTGGCATGAAAGAAATTCCAGATGATACAAGTTAGAGCCTCATCCTCAGTATAGAGTTTGTAAGCAAACGGCAGATGTTAATTGAGTGGAGATTTTGGTTGTTTTCATTTGGTACGTGTTACTTGTAAATCTTAGGGTGGTCTGGGTGTAGAGATTGTAGTAAAAGTGGGTTTGTAGAGCTTTGGCTTTTCTTCATGTACATAAGTTAGTTTCTTTGTTTACCAGGATATGCTTGGGTATCTTTGTGTAAAGTTTGTTTGAGCGATAAAAGGTCTCTCATCTTTTCAAAAAGAAGGATGAAAATGACACAATAAACAGAAATCAGCCCTTTCCCTTCCAATGAAATAAAAATTTATGAATATAGAACATGAATATCACCTACAATTTCATCATGATTTGCATCAAACGCGGAAAACCATTCTAACTTGAACGCTAGACTCACTTGGTAAACATGAAAGGCACCAAATGCCCCAAATGCAGCGCCTCCGAGGATGGTCCTCTCCCCGTGTACAAGTAAAACTTCTCACCTTTCTCGTACAAATCAAGAATCTCATTGAAATCCCTAAATCATCAAAAATAAACAGTTAAAAACATCAAAACCCATATGCCACAAGCTAATGGTGAATGAAGATTTGGGAAGAGAATTCACCTGTGAGCAAAGAACACCCCGCGGCGAAGGAACACGTGAGCGGGGCGCGAGGTCAATCGCTCGACTCGATCGACTAGGGTTTCGTTGAGCCTTTGGCAGCCGAACTTCTCGACTAGCTTGTCGTAGTCGATCTTGCCGCCGTCCTTGGCAGTTACTTCCCACGGATTCACGACCTGTTCTTCTTCGGGTTTTACCTTGCTCTCGAGCTCTGCCATTAGAGAGAGCTGGAAGAAATTAGGGGCAAGGATTAGGGCAATTAATAATAAGAAACTCCAAACCAATTTCGAGGGTTAAATATGAAACTATAGCCTAAACGAGATCGAGAATGAGAGCAGACACTCGACAGAGGATAATGTTTGAGATCCCTGCTGCCCGCCGCCGATAGTCGAGCTTCGATCAGATTCAATGCTGAAACGACGAAATTGAGCGTATGGAGGTGCTAGGGTTAAAGAGATTATTAAACGGGTCATATACGTGTATTCAGTGTCGACCCGAATTACCCTTTGTACTATCGAGGTGCTAGGGTTAAAGAGATTACTAAACGGGTCATATACGGGTATTCAGCGTCGACCCGAATTATCCTTTGTACTAATTTGGGTCAACTAGTTTATCACCCGTATCCGTATATTTCTACTACGGTTGCAATCTGATGGGATACAGCTCAGGTATAGAACTTAACTTATCCATCTTCATGGTTATGTATATGGATATAGATATGCCATACATGATTAGGAAAACGTGTCTCTATATGCGCTAAAATCAGATATAATTATACACATAGATATACATGCAGATAAAAAAGATGCAAGAAGACTTAAAACAGGAAAAACATTAGTCCAAATAATACATTGTATTTTATTAATATTTTCGCTATATCTGAAAAACTAACACTAAGTTGTGAGACCCTAGAGGGGGGGTGATTAGGGTCTTATGCTAATCTAATCCGATTTAAATGCCAATTAAAACTAATTAACAAGTTATCCTAGCAAGTATGAAATACCACAAGATAAGTGAGCTAGGATAAGCAATGTAAACAATGAGATATATCCTATATGATGAATTATATATATATGCAAGGATATATAAACAAACACAAGGGGTAAACAATCTAAATAGGATAGTGGATGAAATGAATGAGCAATGCACAATTGGCGATATAAGATGAATGCAAAAATAAATACGCCAAAGACAAACTCAAACAAGCAATATGATCACGGAGTTCGGACCTTCCGTCCTACGTCTCCGCTCCCCACTCCCGGGGAGAAATCCACTAACACAATCCGGTTTGGAAGCCGGAACTTCTTCTACACACTCGGTTTTCTAGCTAACCGAAAACTCTACAACACACACTCTTGCAATCACACTCTACACCCACTAAGTGTTGGACCTAGCCGTGTCTCCCTCAAGTGCTCGGTTACAACCTCTCCCTAGGCACGTCAACCGACGCCACTCCTCTTGGGACGATCCCCGACTCTCACCACACACTCCTCACTCGGTGTACAAGTGTATTACAAAGTGAATATCACAATAAGCACAATATAACAAATGATTGTTCTCAACTATGGATGAGAACTCAATTAAGCACAACTCAAAGTTACAATCTCTCACCACCCAACTATACTATGTATGTAAATACTAAAAGCTCAATATGGGTGTGTGTAACAATGAGTAAAATAAAATCTAACTCAAATAGCAAACTAGCAATAGTAAGAATATGAAAATCAATAACGAAATTGCTAGAGAAAAGAGTTAGAAAACTTCTCTATAAACACAAAGAAGAGGATGAAGAGGATTGAGAATGAATCCCTCAATCTGCAGTGAAAACTTCCTCCTTTGTAAACAGAAACCCAATCTTTAAACAAACAATAAAACCCTAAACCCTTGTTTAAAAACTTTGTTTAAAACTCTTCTTGATCTCTTGAAAAGAGATCAGCAATTGGGTATTTATACCCACTCAAGATCTCAACAAAAACCCCAAACAAAATGACAAAACAGTCCCCAGAAGACAGCTCAGAAAAATAGCCGTTAGTGTCTAACGGATCTATTGGCAGTCGACCGACAGAATTTTCGGTCGACCGAAAGAAAGAATTCGGTCGACCGACGGAAAATCCGGTCGACCGCGAGCAGGTCTGAAAAACAAAGAAACAAGCAGAGACTTCGTCGGTCGACCGGTCGACCGATCATTTGATCTTTCTTCACTGAGCGACAGAGAGTCTGTCGGTCGACCGGTCCGGTCGACCGAGAGCTCAAATCGGTCGACCGACAGAATTTCCGGTCGACCGACGTTAGTCAAGAAAGTTTTCTTCGTGTTTTCGCTGAATTAAACTTATCCCTAATAGTTTCTACTTCTATCATGGCATCATTTTTAGCATGAGTTAAGCTAGCAATAGATGAAGACATGAGTTAAGCTAGCAATAGATGAAGCTATGTATGTATATATATAACTATATATATGCATAGAAACCAAAACTTGTGTGTATATATATATATATATATATATACGAAGAAACCAATAAATGTGTGTATAGATAATTGAGCTTAGAGTATATAACACACATAATATAAATCCTAAACTAAATTACCCAAGCTTGATCTTGATCTTCAATAAGCTTGACTTGGTACACGTTGCGGATGAAGCTTGAACTTGATCTTTAACTTTGAATTTGCAAGGCTTCACCGACATTCCGCCAACCTCCATTGGATTTCATCGTTGAAGCTCTATTCCATCCATCCTCCAACTACGTTGTTTGTCTATAATAAATAAGAAAACACAAATACTAGACAAACAACATTAGTGGTAAATTATTTGTTAAACATCATCAAAATATGAAGGCCAACATAAGTCTCTTGATAATCAAAATTAATCTCCAATCCATCAATGTAAAGATTACAATGATTACAATTGTGGAATATAAATCTAGATATTTTACTACATATCCATCATATCATATCAGTTATAGATATTTAGTTACCATATGTGTATTCTAATGGATACGAATACATGTATATCCACACTAACAGATTTTTTGGCTCGGGTCAATAGGTTGGGTCAAAATGGTAATCATACATATAATAGAGGCGTAACTAGGGGTGGGCACTTTTTGGTGCGAAACCGACTAAGCCTATTGAAACAATCGAAATTTCGGCAGTTTGGTCTGGGTTTAGGAAGTTATCGGTTCAATTTTAGAATATTTGGAAGTGAATTAATCAGATCGATTGCTCTTAACGTAATTGTCTCAACCTCACCCTTTTTTTATAGGGGAAATAAATGCGTGCTAATATTTTCATCTATCTAAGTTGCTCAATGGTCAATTTTAGTTTGTAAAGTAAATGATTTGATGAGTTTTATCTTCGACTTGGCTAAAATTTCTCAAAGTTCACGTATCCCGAATTGAACACCACACTGATTGATTTGATTCAGTTTGATCATAAATCTAGCTTGATTCATATTTGTTTGACAGAAAGTAATAAAAAGTGACCAAATTGACTGATTTGTTCACCCTATGTGCAATGTAATTCGACTAGACTTGTGAAGAAATCTGTATATTGGGTTGAGATTGGACCTAATAATTTTGCTCAGCTTCTCATCAGAAATCAAATTGGGCATTGCGTCCAAAAAACGCTTGATCCATCAAAAGCTTAATCTATGGGAAAACTTTCAAGTGCGCTCCGATCCGTGGAATTAAATATGCACCTAAATAATGGCAATCGCTGGATCTTTAGATTTAGAGATTCATACCTAGACCTAATGATTGACATTTTTTTGAGTGCACATCTAATGCTATGAGTCATTTCCAAAATATACTTTGGCAAATCTTCAACATAGGTCCATAACGCCTCGTTTGGTACGTGGGAATAAAGTCAAGTGAGAATGAAATGGAAGAAGGAATGGAATGGAATGTATGTGAGAATGGAATGGTCATTCCCATTCTCTTGTTTGGGTGCGTTTGTAGAATGAAGCTAGAATGAAAAATCTAATTCTCATTCCCATGTTTGGTATCACTAGTTCACAAGTGAGAATGGAATCTCATTTTCTAATAATGCCCTTATAACAACATAGATTTTTAATAAGATAAAAATAAACATTAATGATAATAACTAAAAAAATTTATTTATGCATATGTTATATTAATCTAAGTATGTGTTATACTAATGCGCATGTTATCGATCAGGTGTATATTTCGTTTATTTTTTTAAACAATTCTCACTATTTCTTAGTCTTAAAAATTTAAATAAAAATAAATAAAAGATTATCGCATCTTTCATATGTCCAAAAAAATATAAAGAATGATATTCACAATCCACAGTTCTAGATATATAAATTAACTCATTTGATAAAGTACCAAAATCACCCATATCATAATATAAAAAAAATCCATAAAACAATACCAACTAAAATAATAAGTTTCGAAATAGCAAAATGATATACTAGCCTAAATTGCCAATCTAAAATTGCCCACTTGCATATCGCCTCACCCAAACATTCTTCAAATCATCACTAAGTGTGAAGAACAAATCCAGTAAATCACGGTTAGTACCAATCGTTCTTATCGCTGTCAAACATTGCTCCATAGGTAAATTCATATTCATTACGTATTCAGTAAACCTCTTTCTCTTCTAAGTCAAAGCCACTTCATCTAACCCATCCTTAATTAACTGGCTCGACCTAAAAAGTTCACTTGCTATATTTGTAGAAGATTCCCTCAATATCTCGAATGACTCGCTATCCCCCGATAACCGTCTCTTCTTTTTATGCTTGGAGGAAGCTTCACCCGTGTTCTCAGGTATTACCTCTTGAGAATGTGACTAAGGTATATCATCAGCATCAGTATCATGGCCAGCCTCCCTATCAAGTTCTTCTATAACATCATATGGGTGTTCCATTCCCTTTCCTGTCGCTCGATCCTTTCCAAACCCAATAGATAAGGTATCAAGGTGTGGAAAAGCTTTCTCCTTGAATCGTGTAGCATTTTTAATGGGCCTGCAATTAAATTCGTTTAAAAAATCAATAATCATTAATTAACAAGATACTGGATATAATAAAATTAACATGCTAGATTAAAATTTGAATAACTAAATACCTTTAGATATTCATCTCATACTTCTTTTTCAGCAGTTACACATTGCTTCGTTTCATCCCATCCAAAACCACTGCAGTTGAGCATATCAAACACAATACTGAATTGTGTCTTAAGAGTTTTCATCCTTGATCTGATATGTGGATCAACCTTTAACCCCGAATTAGGTAGTGACATGGCAAGTAACATCTCAACAACATTATAGTGTCCAGGCTTGAAACCACGATCAACATTGTACTTTCCAGTTTGGTGTAACTCCAATAATGCATCAACCTACTTCTGGTCTTCCTCAACTATCCATGTTCGTTTATTCTTCCCAGGTCCTCGTTGATCTTCTTGATCCATTCCTGAATAGTTTATAAACCATGTAATAATTTCCAAATTTATATCATCACGATAGTTTTTAAATAAGTCTTGCTTTGATGATTTATGAAAGTAAGCAAATATTTTGGTTTGTAGCAAGTATAATGAACTTATAACAAAAAAAGCATAATAATGCGTCCAGTAACTAAAAAAAGCACAATAATGTTAATTTTAATTAAAATAAATGTCAAACAATTTGAAAACAACATGATAACATAAAATTGAATACTAACTAATAAAATAGTGTTAACGCCACATCATCAATGATATCCTCTGATAAGATACTCTTCTTCCCCTATCCACTGGTTATACAAAAAATTTACGAGGTTATCTCGATATGAAGTCCAAGCTGTTGTAGTTTCAATTGTGTTGATTAAATCATTATTAGCCATTTGAGTTGTTTCCTCTAAAATATCAAGACCCTCTTCAAATGGATCAATCTCCATTTCTCTCCTTATGTAATTATGTAGAAGACAACATGCCATGATTATTCAATTTTGGGTCTTTATAGGGTAAAATGAAGGACTGCGTAAAATCCCTCATCTTAATTTAAGCAATCCAAAACATCTCTCAATAATATTCCTAGTCGATGCATGTTTCATGTTGAAAAACTCTTGCATAGTTGTAGGTTGGTGTCCGTCTCTCCATTCGTTCAACCGATGCATGTTTCATGTTGAAAAACTCTTGCATAGTTGTAGGTTGGTGTCCGTCTCTCCATTCGTTCAAGTGGTATCGTTGACCTCTGTATGAGGTTGGTGTCCGTCTCTCCATTCGTTCAAGTGGTATCGTTGACCTCTGTATGGGGCAAGAAAACCTTCGCAATTTGTGTATCCAGCATCAACTAGATAGTAATGACCTATGATTAGACATGTCAAAAATGTATTTAATTAAATAGCATTGGAGTTGATGATTAATAACCCAAATGAAGTATAAATTATAAGTAACGTACCACGTGGGACTTTTAACCCATTTCTTCTAGTTATTGCTTCTCGAAGGACTCTACTATCAACAGCTGACCCTTCCCAACTAGGAAATATATATATGAATTGCATGTCTTGAGAACATACACCCAAAATATTTGTAGCAATTTCACTCTTTCGTGTTCGATGCCTAGATTTTTTCTCCACAGCTACTCTCACCCTTATGTAAGTCCCATCTATAGCTCCAAGACAATTCTAGACATTAGGAAAATTTTAATGTGCTAGATTACTTATAAAAATTGATAAATACAAATTCTACTTATATTGTAGATTACCTTAAACCATTTCTACCTCGCATCTATTGAGTCAATCGGTACTGGCTCGGGTTACTTAATCAAAATATCGTGTAGATGTATCACGACGTGTAACACACAAGTAAAATGCCGACTAGTAGTTTCCCCTGAACGTTGGAAAATTTGTTTTATGACTATGATCTTCACATGGTGGGCGAGGATATGTAGAAACATTGCTACTTCCTCGTCTACCAACATATTTTTTGTATCATTTAGTCCTACATTTTGCAGCATAGTGCATAACTTCCTAAAAGAGCTCCTATACATTCTAAGCTGATCATAACAAGTTACTTCACTTGCATATGCTAGACGATATACATTTTTCCTTTTAGAATAAAAATCGCTGATCATAACAAGTTACTTCACTTGCATATGCTAGACGATATACATTTTTCCTTTTAGAATAAAAATTTATCAAATATCGCTCTCTCAGTGATTTTTTTTTCAATGTAAATTTTCATTATGTGAGATAAAAATATGAACCACCAAGCCACTACACTTGCAAATTTCCCATATGTGTTTGGACAACAACCAACTTCTTCAATTTTCTCTGTTTGCCATCAGAATCCATAATATGATATATCTTGACTGCATAAGTGTAAAAGAGTATATTCATTTTGGAATGTAAACAATTTAAATAAACTCTTAATGAGAATTCTTTATAACAAGGATATTGTTGAATATGAAAAGAGAATAATACACCAGGCATGAGTTTTTATATTGGTGAATATAGATGTTCGGTTAGCAAGTTTTTATACACCAGGCATGAGTTAACCTAATACAAGATATAGTTAGATCTTACATATCTCTTCTCACTCTTTGTTTCCTTATCTAACTTTATTCATAGCACATAAACTGCACTAACTAGTAATTTCCAAAGGATATAGATACTGCTCTTACAATTTATATTAAATACAAATTGGGATAACTGCCATTTTCATCCTAATCTCTAATTTACTCTTTCCAAATTTTGCTATTCAATAGTACTACTTGCAACAGCGGGGCAAAATAAATCTGTCTCCAAAGGTTGTGATCATCGAAAAAAGCTCCATCGGACCAATAGGTCCCTTCCTTCCCCTCTATAGCTAGTCTAAGACTCTCCAATACAATAGATAACGTTGCATTTAGCGCGGACTTGGAGACATGTGAAAAGCATTATATTCTCACTTCTTTTGGGAGTGTCCTCTCTTTCTCTCTTACACGTTTCATACTAAAGAAAACTAGGTCTACCTTCATCTAGATGACTCCCATGACTTGAAATATAATCACACACAAGAGAAAAAAAAAAGCATAAACCATAAATGCTGACTCACAAATTACTGAAAACAAAAGAAAAAATTTTCAACAAATTCTCCTGTAGGTTGATAGCTGGACCAGCTACAGCAACTTATGACCACTAAGTCAATAGATTCAGCTCCATATCTTTGCCAAATGATCTAAAGTATATGACCTAGTAACTTTAAACAACATTGCTATGTTACTCTTAGTAACCTGCACTTTATCAGTCAATCCTCTGTTCGACTTCTGTTCAAATATTCTCTGTCCAAAAAGAACACTCTTTGAACATTTTAGAATAGGAAAACTGGATTCTCCTTTTAATTTGCTGCTCATTCAATGTCTTCAAAATGGATTACTAGCATATCTCGAGTTTCTGACGCAAGCTATCCAAATTATACTTAGGGGTTCAGAACACAAGTTTTCATAAGTTTTCCACAAAAAATAAACAAATTTATCTAAATGAATCTTTCCTAGACCTCACATCTCAAACCCTTTATATAACGAGTTTCTTTTGGCTTCATATTTGGCAAAACTCTATTAACTATTCCTTGGCAAACCAATTTATTGACCGTGAACGATAAATTGTATGTTCCTCACTTTCTTTCAAAGTTCTAAAGACCCAGCCTTATCGAGGTAAGATCCATTAAATATTAGACAACGTTTTATTATGAATTGCTGTCTAAAATCAAGTTTTTTAAGATTGGTTTCTAATACATGTGCAATGTAACTAGGAGCAAGAAGAGTCTAAGAATAAGTTCTAGGAGGCCAGCTGGTAGATAGAACAACCTACAACATCGTTCAAATAAACTTGTGTAGCTAGCAAGCTACATATCAACGTGTAAAGGAAAGATTTGCCAAGGAAATCATATTCATTTAAAAAAATCATAAAGCAGAACATGAATTCAAGAAAGATAAATATATGTTATATACATTAGCTTATCATAAATAGAAATTAGGAATAAAAAATGTGATGTCCTGCAGCTCCACTATAGACTGGATTCCCAGCTAAACATCTTCAACTAATGACTCGTGGAGGGAACCTGTTGGATGCATTTGCATGCCCATATATAGACTTGATCCGAAACAGGCAATATAGACTGAATTCTGCTAATATATGTTATATACATTATCTTTAAGGCCAAGAACAGGAGGCAACAAACAGACATGATCCGAAACAGGCAATATAGGCGGAGAGATTTCACTATAATCAATTTGACAAAATCTCCTAAACCACAAAATTTGTAAACTCGCATTAGTATTATATACTTTCAATCTTATGGGCATGCTTCCTTCACATAAATCTTAAGAAGCAGCACTTAATTTCCCCACAGTCTGCCTCCAACTGAAAATTATGAAGTTCACACAGGCAATGATGAAAGTCATTTAGTTATATGTAATACCTAATATGTTATATCACAATGGATTCATCTATTAAATAACATAAGTATTAACAATAATCAAAATAATCTCTACCAACAAATCTGAAATCAACTAATGACCTTTATGCGGTTTCTGAACTCACTTTTAGTTCATTCACAAAGGTTTGAGGTAAAGATTATATTCATTATCATCGAAATATAATATTATGATCAAAATGCAGAATCAAACCATAGAAATTAAGAAGGAATTATTGACAATCAATAATCAGAAAGTAACTAGCAGAGCTTCAATAACCGTGAAATACAAATTAACATCTTAGTGCAGGTCATCGTATGTGAACAAGAATTCGATATTAATCCAAGAAGAAATATTCTGTTTGCAGGTCATTGTACATTGTACAGTACAGATTTTCTATCCTCAAGCCTTATTATGCATGTACTGAAATCAATTAGGAAAACGAACATTACTATTGAATTGAAGAATTGAAGCAACAGAATGACTCAAGATTATTTTGTAGGAATATTCCTCCCTTTCTTTTTTCTTAGCTTTGTAAGAATTCTGCTAAAGTAGCAAAATTAATATGGATAATCGTCACAAATTTAACAGAGTTCAACAAATTTCAACAGATTAAGCAGTGAAGAAGAAAAGTCACGAAAAATGAAGAAAAATCGAGCAAAAAACCACCGAATCGTACCTAGAAACGTGAGCGAAGGAGAGTCGATGACTCGGTCGTTGAAGAGAAAGGCGATGCCGGCTATGGTGGTGACTTTAGTGGAAGACGCGATGCCGGGGCGGAGGCGGCGTCGGAGGATTTGTGTTCGAGAGGCGGTTGAGGCCATGGAGGAAGAGGTGGAGGAGAAGGGATTGGTGTTGGGATTGAAGTCAGGAAGGAAAGAGCGGCGGCACGTTGATTTCAGGGGCGATGAATAGAAATGAGGCCTTTTTGTTTTGATGGAGCCTTAAAAAACAGAGAGAAAATAAGAATACGTAGTCAAAAGCCAAGATTTTTAAATTGATTCTTATTATTAATAGGGGTATAATTAAAAAAACCTAACTAATTTGATTCTCTCATTGAATGGGAATGATCATTCCCTATCTTCTCACTTGGAATACACATTCCCACAAAAAGTGGGAATGACCATTCCATAGAAATGGTCATTCCAACATCTAAAAACTAGTTTTGTTTGGTATGAAGGAATGAGAAGTGAGAATGACATTTCATTCCACCCCATTCCCGCGTACCAAACGGGGCGTAATTGTAGGCGTATAAAATTGCTTATAGGTCCCTTAGCACAGCTCGGCACAAACCGACGAACCATCGGGCGACATATCCAAACATGAGCGTCAGTCCACAACGCCGAAGCCATATGACACGCAACGAAGCGGATTAACGAGGCAACGAGGCTAATGAACCGCACGCAAACAATGGAATACATCCATTCGCATGCGGAATCAAGCTAACAGTTTGGTGAGTCAACGAGTCATCCAACCATAGAACGGATTTGAACTCAAACACCGAGACGGATTTGCTGCCATATTGGGATTCGAACTGTCAAATCAGAGTCCGGATCAACAACGAAGCGGGTTTACTGCTAAATCAGGATTCGGATCAACAAATCAGAGTCCAAGTCAACCACGAGACCGGAAAAAATGGCAAAACCCAAACACCAAAGGGGACTCGGCCAAAACCGAGCCACCTATAGGTGGCTAGGCCAAAGCCGAGCCACCCATAGGTGGCTCGGCCGGCCGGCCCCCTATAGGTGGCCGGCCCAGATCTGTGCCAAGGCACAGATCTGAGAGCCTATAAATAGGCCTTTGCTCATTTGTTAAAGGGGGGAACTTTTGGAGCCGAAACTCTGCCGGATTGAGAACTAAGCTTGGAGTTTTGAAGGCTTGAAGACTTGGATGTTCAGATCCGGTTCTTGGCGAGCATCCACGTCACAAAAGGCAGGAGTTCGAGAGAGAGAAATCAGATCTGAGATCTACACGAAGTAATACTCCGGATCAAAGCTTGGCCTTTGATCCCGAGAACTAAAGGCTATTATTTCCTTGGTGAAATAGTACCCCCCGGCTGTTATTTCCTTAGTGAGATAACACCCGTCAAATCGTGTAGATCCGACCGGATCTAGATCGCGCGGTGGTCCACGGATTATCCCCGGCGTTGGCAAAGAACCCACAAAAGCGAGTGACCGCAAAACAGGAGCTCGTGATTCGTTTGAAAAATTAAAGTTGTAATCTTTTTATTTTTCTTTGATTTTGTTGTAACCGGATCTGATAAAAAGACCAGATTTTTGTAATCGATAAACTATTACAAGAGTGTGCAATGGAATCAATGAAGAAAACAATTTTTCCCGCGAACAATCTCGGCTGTTATTTCCTTAGTGAGATAACACCCATCAAATCGTGTAGATCCGACCGGATCTAGATCGCGTGGTGGTCCACGGATTAACCCCGGCGTTGGCAAAGAACCCACAAAAGCGAGTGACCGCAAAACAGGAGCTCGTGATTCGTTCGAAAAAGGAAAGTTGTAATCTTTTTATTTTTCTTTGATTTTGTTGTAACCGGATCTTATAAAAAGACCAGATTTTTGTAATCGATAAACTATTACAAGAGTGTGCAATAGAATCAATGAAGAAAACAATTTTTCCCGCGAACAATCTAACGACCACAGTGGGAGTCACCGATCTCGCTGCCGAGATCGTCACGTCGCAGCCGCGGATCTCAATCCTGGTCGAGGAGGATGTTGAATATGAATTCGATCAGGCCAAGTTCGAGGAGTATCTGTCATCCTCGTCCGGATCCACCTCCCCCCACAAGTCCAAGAAGTTCTCCTCCAGAAGAAAAGTTCGTTGGTTTGAAGAAGTTCAGAACGCCAACGAAGCTCTCACCCCAGCTGATGCCAAAGTTGCATCGGGTGAAGTTCCACCGACCTCCAATGAGGTCAAACCTGTTCTTACCGACGCCTCTACTGTTGAGGGCGTTGTGACTCTCTCAAAGAGAGCCCGCCAGAGGCGACGTTAACGCCTTGCGCGGCAATTCGCTAAGGCGATGGAGTCTACCGACGGAGTCCGCTACAACGCGGATCTGAAGAACAGGAGAGGCAAACAACCCCAACAACTGAAGAATGGCAGGTCCTCCAAACCACCAACGAACGAATGGAATGGATCCGGGTCAAACGGAACCGTTCGACACTTGAAGAGCAGATTCACAAACGCCGCGCGTTACTCGCACAAGCAAAAATTCTTGTGCAGGAGGCCAAGAAATTGGAGGAAGAAAGAGTGGCCAAAAAGCCATCACCAACCCGCCAAGTATGGAGGCCGAAGCAGCCTCCAACAAAAGTTCAACCACCGGCGAATCAACCCAAGCCGCCGATGATTCCAGTAATTACTCCGGGAGATCACGCAGAATCATCCCGAAAGAAGAAGCCAGTTTTGGAGCGCCTCGGCCCACTTCCCGATGAGCGAGGCAAGGCTCCAGTTCAAGAGCGTTTGGGCCCGATAAAGAAGCCCCGGACGACTCAACATGCTGGGGGTCGCCGCCATCCTCAACACGCCAAAGAAATCAGGGCAGCTACGCGTACCAATTTGCGCATCGAAGTCCGGGAGCCCGCTGAGAACTCACGCCCAAAAAGGCAGGTTTCGAGGCGCGTGACTCTTGAAGGCCCAAAGAAGGCAGTTCACCCTCAGAAGGAAACATTATCATCTGATGACAATAATGTTATACCTGAGAAGTCGTGCCAACACACGATAGATTACTCCGACCTTCAAGCAGACGAGTTGTACTATCGTGCTGGGGGTACGAGTAAAACTAGGAAAAGGAGTCCCTGAGAACAGGAAACTCAATGCCCCTGTTCCAAACTCATTCGGGCAGTATTGTCTGAATGCAACTGCATCAAGGCGGTCCCCGAACGAGTTTCGGTTTTTGAAAGGCTCAGTACTGAAACACCGAAACCAAGGCCTAGGCGTTTCCGACGAAGTAGAAGGATAGTCGAAGACGGAGAATTTCCGAGGGTCACCACCAATATGACCAGCAAAAGGGCATCGACACGGGACAATCTCGAATAGATTCTGAAAGCATCCCGGCCTAGAACCCGTCTGCAGTCCGGAACCATCAAGCGAGCAACTTATGGTAGGGTTCGGACAAGACTACCTTCAGAAGATGAAGAATCTGATGCTGGCTCCGCGGTTGCATCAGATAATACGATATCCAGTGAGGGACAACCCCGCGAGGCACTCATGATAAGTGCAGAACAAGTGGCCAAGATGCTCGAAGAAGCTTTGGCTAAACAATATGAGAGCTTTAGGTTCGAAATGCAGATGGCCATGCAGAACATGAGAGAAATGCATGTCCAACAAATCCAAGCATTGACGAACCAGCAACCCGAGCCAAGTCATCGTAACCAGGTTAATCTGGAAGATGAGGACACAAATGCGAATGAGACACATAATGCCAATAATCCTCCTGTCAATACAGGGGGTGGTAATGAGAATGCTAGCGAAAACACAGGTGAAAACTTGAAGATCAAGAACCTCGAGAGCAAAATCAATACGTTGATTTCCTCTCAAGAGATGAAGAAAACATGCATTCCTTGTCCATACCCAAGAGAGTGGGAATCGATCCCATATCCGACGAAGTTCAACCTAATTAACTTCACGCCGTTTAATGGGATGGGTTCACCCACTCAGCATTTGATTTATTTCAAATCGCACCTAGGAGTTATCTCTGGTAATGAGCCTCTGATGGTACGATCCTTCGTTGGCACTCTTCGCAGAGTCGCCTTCGATTGGTATCGCCGCCTCAAGCCAGGAAGCGTAAATAGCTGGGACGATATGGAGACTAAGTTCCTAGCCAACTTCTTCGACGACGACACAGAGATATCCATCGGGTCGTTGCTTGACGAGAAACAGAAAGACGGGGAATTGGTTGACACCTTTGTCAAGAGGTTCCGGAACAAGGCGATGAACTGTCGGGACCCGATCACCGATGAATTCATTCTCCAGACTTACCACAACAACCTCGCATTGGACGTGTTGGAAGCAATGGGGACAGCACCGTCCAAGACATGGAAGGATCTGAAGGTCCGAGGAGAGCAAGCTGAGCGGTTCCTCAGAAGGAAGAAGGCGGAAAGAGGCCAACCGGCGACGAATGCTCCACAGCAAAATTTCGTCCCACGGGGGAAAGGTAAGACATATGCTAATGCAGTTGATGCTAATCAAACTTTCCAATTGCAACCTCAGCAACAGCAGCAGCAACAAGCACCACAACAACCTCGGGGGCAATGGCAACAACGACCTCAGAAGCAGAAATCTTCAGAGCCAAGATTCCCCAAGGTGTACTCCTTCAAAGATGACGAAGTTCCCGGCATCTTTAAGTACCTGTTGGAGAATAACAAGATCCAGCTACCAGCGATCGTGGATCAAGAAGGGGCTAGCAAAGTGACGGATCCGAAGTATTGCGCATACCATAGAGCGGTCCATCACCCTACCAAGTCGTGCTACCACCTCAAGGACAAGATCCAGGCGCTAATTGATGTAGGCGTCATAACCCCGAAGCTGTCCAAGAATGTTGGAGCAAATGCGGTGTCAATCAGCTTTGGATCGGTGTCCACAACATGGTTCAAAACAGAGCGCATCACCAAAGTAGGGATGAAGACTATGAACGATGACCCACATGGACAGCGCCAAAAAGGGCTTGTGCCACACACAGCCCCAAACGGAGAAATCCTCTGGGTTCATCCCGATCTAATTGAAGACGAATAGTGGGCGACTTTCTCGAAAAGAAAAGGCAAAGGCAAGTCCTACAATGCTACGTCCGCAATCTTCGAGGAGGATGGCGATGAAGCTCCTACCTTCCCGCTCTCCGAAGAGGAACAAGAAGTCTTTGCCACTAGAAGCGGAAATGAGTATCACTACAATTATCCGC